CTCTTCTCCTTGAACATACAAGAACTGCTTAGGATTAGAAAAAGAAGTTGATGAATAACATCAAGGCGCTAAAGATAATAACATTCGCTCTTCCTCTAGACACTTTTCTTCTGGTGAGTGCTTGTGAGACGACAAAGGAAATCTGGGATAAGTTAAAGGAGCTTTACTCAAGTGATGAAGATCTGGAACATTCTATACAAACGCTGCTTCTATCGGAGTTTGGTGCTTCAGCTATGTCGGCAGTAAAAGCTCATGAACATTTTAAGAGTTATACTTTGGCGAAGATGGTGGGAGTTATTAGGTCCCATGAAGATTAAGTAACGAAGGATGGGAAGATTGTGTCTAGAATGAGATCATTAGCCCTGGTTGCAAAGGGTAAAAAGGTAGCTGAAGAGGATTCGGAGTCAGACCTCTCAGATTGTGATCTTACAAATAAAGAATATGCTCTATTGGTGTCCAATCCCAAAAGATTTGCTAAAACGAAATTTGGACGCTTCAAAAACAGGAACTGGCAAGGAAACTATAGTTCAGACAAAGCGAAAGATGGGAGCTTCAAGAACTCTCAAAAGGAAGATGAGAATAAAGAGAAGAAGCTGATGAGAGATTCAGGATATGACTGCAACTACTGTCATGGCAAGAATCATTAGGCCAAAAAGTGTATGTTGAGAAGGATGAATGAAAAGAAGGATGAAGAAGATGATGAAGCTTAATATGTTCGAAAGATAAAAGATATTAAGAAGAAAAAGAGTGCTGCTAGTGCTAAGTCTGCTTTGATTGTGCAGGAGGATGATAGATTTGGACGTGTGGAAGTTCGGAAGCCCACGCATGGTGGATATTTTTTGGTGAACTCTGTAGCCCCTGAGTACAAGGGAAGATGTTTGATTGTTCGCAGTGATGTCTCGGAACAAAGGGGATACGCGACTGATGGCGGCCAGGCCTCTGGCAGCTGTTTTGCTGCAAGACCTGTTTCTGAACAGGTTAGTGAATGCGAGAAGGTCATCAGTAAGGTAGACTCTATACTCCAGTCTCTTAATATTCCTGTTACTGATTACGAATCTGAATTATATGATTTGAAATTTACTGTCTCTAGTTTTATCGATAGTTTAAAGAGAACAAGTCTAAGTAATTCTAACCTAAACGATCAAATCAGCAGGGTAACAAATAAGAGCGAAGAGAGAAGGATGTGGATAGAGAAGTTGGAGTTAGAGCTAACTTGGTCCAGGGATGATGTCATTTATTTAAAAAGAGACAATTTAGCACTTTTGAAACAACGAAATATTTTATGTTTAGTTGCAAAGCGTTTATATTTCAATATTACTCAAACTGCATCTTGATTGTGAAATAGGTAAGAAAATACACAAAATAATTTTACCCTTTCTTGAATTGAAAGAGGATGAAATCAATGCATAGTGCTATAAGTGCGAATCCATTGTGTCCTCTGATGATGTTGCCGAATCTTACAAAATTAGACTTGACAAAATTGAAGCATATATTTAGTCCAAAGAACATAAAACCATGTTAAAACAAATGTTGGATGAAAATGATAAAGAACATATTAAATCTGATACTGTGCAAAAATTTGACTTGTTATGCACAAAATTGAGTTCAGAAAACAGTTTTGATGGTGAAAATGTTTTTGGATTTGACGATCGTGACATGAGTGAGATTTCTATAGAGCATGAGATAGATTGTTCAACATTTGTTCAAAATGAGGCTGAACCACATAAAAAGTTGATTTTTGAAAATTCAATTGAATATGTTCGTGTTGTTGAAGATAAGGGTTCAGATGTTTTAAAAGCAAAAGCCACTATATTTCCGAAAATTCAAACCTTCCCTAATCAAGTTTTCGTAAAAACCAGACTGAACAAAAACGGCACCTCAGAACTAACGTCCATTGTTAATAATGATAATGCTGATGGGTGTTATGAATTTTTCTGGTCTGGACCAATAGACAATTCGGACGAAACAAAAGGTCTTTCCGAAATGACCTCATTGAAAACGAAAAGACAATACGTTTCGGAACCACTGAATCGCGTTGACTTTCGTTACGATCAGGAAGGACCAAGTGGCACTAAGGATGTCCCCAGTGAAACCTCTTCTGAACAACATAAAAAGCCTATGAGAAAAGAGAAATCTATAGCTAACATTCCTAAGTCAGCTGGGGAATTTATTGCTAAGAAAAGACAACTGAATTCAAGATATCATAAAAACATAAATTCATGTTCTGTTAAACCAGAAAGATCTGCAAGTCAAAATGCAAAATTCTCTCCAAATCCGAAATCTAAATCGTTTTCAAAACCGCAGTCATCAATTCCACAGGTTCAAAACCAAAAGTTCTTCTGAAACCATCATTTTCAAAATAAACGAAACCTTTGGAAAAGACAAAACCCAATTTTCTTCCAAAAACAAATGTTTCAAAACCTGTCAACACATCAAAAGATGTAAAGGGAAAAATAAAGTAGTTTCGAAACCAGAGATTTCTCTCGAGGAATTCGAAGCGAATTTGAAAAAGGAGAAAATGGCTTTTGAAAAGAAGATGGCTAAAAACACAAAGATTTTATTCAAAGAAAAACAATTCCTGTTCAGGTTAATCTTTGTGATAATAAAATAAAGGTTTTTAATATATTCAGAGGAGAGAATAGTATTTTGCTGAAAAGAACCTTTTGGGTTGATTCGAATGCATATTTTCCTGGTACTAAGAAATCCTCACCAGGGCCCAAGAAAGTTTGGGTTCATAAATCTCTCTGAATTTTGTAGGTAATGCATGATGAACAATACGACTCTGAATTGTATATCGATAGTGGTTGTTCGCGTCACATGACAGGAAGGAGAGAAGAGTGGAGGGAATTCTGATCGCTGAAGGACGGTGGCAGAGTAAAGTATGGAAACAACGCCATAGGGGAAATCAAAGGCTACGAAATGATTACGAATTACGAATTCTCCATTCAGATGGTAGCATATGTGGAAGGCGTACAACATAACTTGATAAGCGTTTCACATTTGGTTGTAGGTAAAGGGCTGAAAGTATCATTCATGATGAGGGATTAGAAATCATAGAGAAGAAAACAAAGGCAGTGCTGCTAAAATAAGAAAGAAAGGGAGAGATGTTTCCTTTGAACATAAAACCGATCGCCGGAAAGCCTTCAATTTGCCTACTTACGAAAGCATCTTCGGATGATAGTTGGCTATGGCACCGAAGGCTCTCGCATCTGAATTTCAAGGACATCAACAAACTTGTACTTAGCAATCTTGTACGAGGACTTCCTCTTCTGAAGTTTGAGAAGGAGAATCTATGTGTAGCATGCGAACTAGTAAAGCAAAGTCGTAAAAGTCACTCGACTATTGTAAACACCAAAGTAATCGAGCTGCTAGAACTATTACACATTGATCTCTGTGGTCCATCTGCCATTGAGAGCATTGGTGGTAATAAGTATATTCTAATGATAGTTGATGATTTTTCTAGATTTACTTGGGTTTATTTTCTTAAACAGAAATCAGATGCAACTCCTAAGCTAAAGGACTTCATCAAGCAGATCGAACTTCAATTGCGAAAGCCCGTTTGGAACGTTCGCAGTGATAATGGTTTTGAATTCAAAAACCAAGTGTTTGAAAAATTCTTAACTGAAAAGGGGTTGGTCATAACTTTTCAGCTCCTTACACCCCTCAGCCGAATAGTGTTGTCAAAAGATGAAACCGGTCTTTTTGCGAAGCGGGAAGGACTATGCTCTCTTTTGCGAACCTTCCACTTTACTTATGGGCTGAGGTTATCGGAACTGCTTGTTTCACTAAGAATCGATCTCTAATCAATAAACGAATTTCCATTACACCTTATAAGATTCTTAACAAAAGAAAGCCTAACGTAAATTTCTTTCATATTTTTGGTTCCATGTGTTTCATCTTCAACTCCAAAGAACACCGAAACAAGTTTGACGTGAAGGCTGGTGAGGGAATATTTATGGGTTATTCTCTTCCTTCGAATGCATATAGTGTTCTAAACAAGAAATCACGAAAAATTGAAGAAACCTATTATGTGACCTTTGATGATAATTATCTGATGACCATTCCTCTTTCTAACATTTATGAGGAGTTTATGAATTTGTTTAATGAGCCTGATAGAGCCATTTCCTCAAAATACAAAGCAAAAGACAATCATGTAAATGAACTGAAGAAGACTGTAGATGAGGCTACGAAAAATGTTGAAACCTCTCAAGAGCCTCCGAGTCCGAACGCTTCGAAATTTTCCAACACACGAAGGACAATCTGGTTCTCCATTCTAGGGGGAGAGCTCATCTTCAAATTCCCATGTTGATCCTCAGTTCCAGGGGGAGAATTCGATTCCAAATGGGGGAACAAGTACAAACTTTCAGGGGAAAATGAGACTGAAAATAATGATTCTGATGTGCAATTGAAATTTGAGGATGTTAATGTCGAAGTTGATTCAACATATGATCCACAATATCCTCCTCTAACAGAATGGACTAAATATCACCCAAAGAGTCAAGTGATTGGGGATTTATCCACAGGAGTGCTTACGACACTACTTGAAAGACAACCTTTTACGACGCGCAATGCGTGTCATAAAACGCTCAGACGACGCGCAAATGCGCGTCAAGGAAGACCTGTCATAACGAGAGACGACACGCTTTTGCGCTTCGTAACCTTACGACGCACATTTACGACGCGCGTTTACGACACACATTGTGTGTCAAGGAAGGCCCTGTCATAAAGAAGATGACACGCATTCGCGTGTCGTAAAACGATGCACATTTACGACTTGCATTGCGTATCATTAAAGCCCATGTCATAAAGAAAGACGACACACATTTTTGCGTGTCATAAAGTTTAAATGTTTTAAAAAATATATATTTTTTTTGTAAATTTACTAATTTTAAAATTACATCACACATTTAATGTCTCATAACATAAAATAAAATTGCATACACAAAAAATAAAATAAATTGCACAAATTATAATATGTCATACAAATAATCATTCAAATATTAAACAAAAACAATACATTGCCAACATGGGTTATACATTCCTATAAAACTAACAACCCACGGTGACCTTGATCTAGATCGAGGTCGACTTGGATCGATGGCGACGATTGAACTGCAAAAAATATATAGATCAAATTGCTTAACAAGTGATATGTAAACAAATCCATTAGGATTTAAATCAATTGTACTTACTTTGTTCTTAAAACTTCTGGAACTAGAAGACCAAATTGCTTAACAAAATCAGCAAAAGCCTTGTTGGTAGGGTACCCTGCACAACTTATACAAATTGCTTCTAGAACACCCTTCATGAAGAGTAAACCAAAAGAAACTTCAAATATGATTCAGGAATCTTTATAAAAGTTCAAACATCATTATATGCAGTCTACTCACCCCACAACATAATTGATGAATGATGTTTACATTATCAAAACATACCATTTCATTTTGAAGATTCCCATAGATCCCATTTTCATTCATTGAAAGCATCAATTCCAAATACATAGCCTGCATTTTGGGAGCATGTTGTTTTAAATAAGAATTGACCAAATCTGCAGGGATGTTTCGGGTCAAAAACAGGTCAATGGTTTGACTTGGACAGCTTTCAAAAACATGCATTGAGAATTCCAGAACAAGCATAGGGTCGGGCCATGGTGAAAGCCACAAATTTACTTGTTTCAGACCAATCTGGTGTTTCAGGGGCATGTCCATGCCACTGTAGCCTTTCAGCTGTAGGAAAATCATTTAAGCCAAGCGCCTCACATTCACTGTTAAAAAGACCATTAATTTTAGGAATGTGAATTTAGTGATGATGTACATAAATTGAAAATAAAAAATATTTATGTGATGGACTTACTGGCGGAAGTCGTAAAATAGCAATGTACTTTTGATTTGTCCCTTTTAAGTAACTTACTTGTGAAACCATTAGAGAAAGGAAGAAGTTTCTCATTTTTCGTTTCCTCAAACTCTTCACTGATATGCTTACAAAATCCCCCTCCTAAATCAGTCATACATATACACGCATAATATGACAGTTGTTAAAAATTATCCAGCCATTTTTTTTTCATTCTCATATAAATAAATAAAAAGTAAAAGAGATGATATAGGAACAAAATTACTTGCCCGCAATTCCAGCTGTTATTGTGACTTTCTCCATCTTTGTTGTCTTCACCATTTGCAAGTTTATGTTTGTCATTGTACATAACTAAGTCCGCTAGTGTAAAGCCATCATGTGCACATATGAAGTTTATACTGTTCCATGGTTTTCTACCACCTTCCTGATGCATACATATAACATGAAAAAGTGATTAAAAAAATAACAAAATCCAATAAGAATGATAAAAAGAAGATAATAAAAAGATTAGGGTACCTGGTATAGATTTGGGCTCCCACAAAGGCATTCATCAAAAGCACCAGAAAATCCATCTGTACCCTTAATGAACTGCCTTACTGTATCCCGATACTGAAATAATTACATTATTTTTATAGGCTAATAAGTTTTATAAATTATTGAAAAGACATAACACTTATTTAAGAAAATAAATGAGCCAAAAAACAGACCTTTCCATTCCATTCTGACCAAATACCCCAGTGAGGAAACACACCGACTTGGTAAAGGCCTCCACAGTCCCATGCTTCAGCTATAAGCTGGAAAGGATAATTGCTATTTATTTAAAAAGTTAAAATTAATAATTTAAAAGATAAGTTTAATTGATAATCAATTTAATTACCTTCACTCCTCAAAGTATTGGGTCATTGCTAATCATGTCAATTAATGGTGGGTTGGTGAGAGGTGAGCCAGTTGTCAGTAAATCATCTTCTACTTGATTTCCATATACATTTACTGCATCAAAAAGGCTGAAGGAAAAAAGATAAAAAAAGTACAAATGAATGTTGCTTTTTTTTCAAATATTGTTAAGATAAGAATCAGAATATCAGATATTTGGTAGACTAGATAACTGATAACCTGCTGCCTCTTGTCATGATAGAGGCAAGATCAAACCGAAATCCATCTACATGCATCTCTGTTACCCAATATCTGTAGGAAGGTTTCATAAAACAAAACTTAATTGACCATGAATCAGGAACACATGTATGATTGTAAATTACAATTTTGGTCCCTGAGTTTAACACTATTTTTCGGTTATGGTCCCTAAAGGGATCTGTTAGCAATTTTGGTCCTTATTTTGATGTTCATAATGATTTTGGCCTCGGCTATGAACCCCATTCAATTTGAATTTATAATTTTATCTTTACTGCTTGTTGTCAAGATATAACGTTGTTAACAATATAACATATATTTTAAAATAGCAAGTTATATTAACATATAAATAATTCAAAATTGCTATATTAACAAATTAATTCAATATACAGTATAGACCAAGAACTTTTATAAATCATATGCACAGATAAAATGTTATAAACCTTACTATAAAGTACAAACTAACAAAAAACTACAAATTTGCAGTTTTGGTCCTAGGGCAAGATGGCCAGTTCAAAAAATATCAACAGCTGGGTGTTAGATTAAATGCTCCAGATATTAAAATCGTTATGAAACAATAAAATAAGGGCAATGTCTTCCAAAAAATTCCTTTAGGGACCAAAACTAAGTAAGTGCTAAACTCAGGGAGCAAAATTGTAATTTACTCTTAAAATAAAAACAGAAAACAGGGGATAGGTAAGTAGCAACTTATATACCTCAAGGAATCTACTATGAATTGGCGCACAATAAGATGGTTGCAGTTGAAGGTGTTTCCACATCCTGAATAGTTGTAGAACTCTCCCTACAAGATCATAAAATAAATGGTACCTTAAAGAGAGAAAATGACCATCATACCCCTTCAACTTCATGACTGAAAAAGAAGTGCATCAATGTTGCTATTAGCCTATTACTATACCTTAGGTGCAAGCATATAAAAAACACTGTTATCAACACCCCGAAAAGACAAAATGGGACCATTTTCATTCCCTTCAACAGTGTGATTGAAAACCACATCCATGAGCACCTGTAAGATGTGAATTAGAAAAAGGAGTTGTCAAAATTAGAGAAATAATTTAAATCTCACCTCGATTCCACATTTATGTGCCTCTTTAATAAGTTGTTTGAACTCATTTATTGCTTCAAGGCCACTATTACGACCACCAACAGATGCATATCTCAACATAGGTGAGAAGTAATTGATAGTTGAATACCCCCAATAATTTAACCTATATAAGAATTTGACAATCCATAGGATGAATTAATACTTTTAAAACAACATTTCTAAGAAAAGTAGATCTCATAAAGCACATAATATACTAAAGAAGGAAGGCAGAACTTGAAATACTTGTAGTCACCCAAGACAGGATTGTAGCTGAAGTACTCCAGCTTATTGAACTCATGGCATGGCATTAACTCTATGCAGTTCACACCAAGTTCCTACACCATAAAGAATAACATTAACAACACTAACCAGTATTGACCTTTCATGCTGCTGAAATGAAAAACAAATGATAGTAATTAAAAATGAACACAAAGAAACTAAAAAAAAACATTAACAAGCAAAGCCCTAGGGAAAACGAATGAATTTACCAACACAACACTTTTGATAAACGAATGAATTCACCAATTCTCCCTGTAAGAAGTGTTTCTCTTGAGTAGCCATCTTTTTTCTTCTGTTAAATGTAAAATAGTTGCTTTAGTCTGAGGAAATCAACACAACACTTTTTTTTTAAAAAACTGACTGCGGTGAGATTTGACTCGTGTCCTTTGACGAACAAAGATTTTTGCATTATAAAATCCAAATTGTACATTTCATGTTAGAACAAGGAATGGTGTGTAGTTTCGGATGAGAGTTCATATCTACGAATTTGGAACAGATGAGACGAATCCACGACTCCAACTTGTGCTGGCCCTCGAGTTTCAAGCATCTTCATAAGAAATAAGACGATTAGGGTTTAAGTGTGTATCTGAGAGAGGGAAAGAAAAAGAGATGAAGGATGTGAGACTGATGTGCCTTTTGAACTTGAGGACGATTAGGGGGCAGGGGTTTGTTTTGAAATCACAGTGGCTTTTGAGGGTTTTTCACATCATCGGAGACAGAGAAGAAAGCAGCTCAGTTTCTTATTCCAAAACTTGAAATTTCTCTTCGAGGTTTGTATGTATTTTATGCGTTGAAGACACGAGAGTGGCAGAAGATCGAGTGAATTTCCTTACCAACTCTTCCTTATTCATAGTCCTTTCAAGAAGAGTGATATATACCTTTTAATCCAACATAAAACCATATTTCTAGTAGTGGTGGCTGCTAGGGTTTCAGAGAGAAGGGAGATAGAAAATGAAAGTCGTTGATTGTTAGAGAGGAGAGAATGAACAAGTCTTCAAAAAATTTGGGGATTTTTTTCCCGCCGGCCCCTTTGTTATTAAGGAGGGAGCGCGTAATAAAATTTTATAAAGCGACATATATACACAACACCCATTTAATTTAGGTGCCCTCCGTGTTTGTAGTTTTTTTTGTTGGACACAAATTTTAGGGCGCACATAAATGCACGTCCTCTATCCTTCAAAATTTGGAATTTCGACATCATTTTTAGGACACACAAAAAATGCGTATCGTAAATCACCGAGTGTCATTGTTTGCGTGTCATTAAAGGGCTGTTTTCTAGTAGTGCGAGGGAACAACAAAAAGCGAAGAAAGCAACATTATTTTATACAATGGAATTTTGCATGTTCAATTCGTTTATCTCCAAGGTCGAACCTAAAACAGTGAAGACCGCTCTTGATCATGCTGATTGGGTTCAAGCCATGCAAGAAGAACTCAATGAATCTGAGTGTAATAAGGTCTGGAGATTAGTTCCTACTCCAAAGGCTGCTTCAGTCGTCGGTATGAAATGGGTGTTTCGGAACAAATTAGACAAGTAATGAAATGTGATTCGAAATAAAGCACGACTAATTGTGAAGGGATATTGCCAAGAGAAAGGTATTGATTACGAAGAGACGTTCACACCTGTTGCAAGGCTAGAATCAGTTCGTATCTTCCTTGCCTATGCAACTCACAAGAACTTTGAAGTCTATCAAATGGATGTGAAGTCTGAATTCTTAAATGGTGAATTAGAAGAAACGGTGTATATGGAGCAAAAACAAGGTTTCGTAAACGAAAAATATCCAAACCATTGTTACATATTCGATAAGGCGGTGTATGGTCTGAAACAAGCACCATGAGCTTGGTATGAAACTCTTACTCATTTTTTAAAAGCAATCCAAATTTAAACAAGGTTCGGTTGACACAACCTACTTTCGCAAGAAAGATGGCGACCACCTTATGATCGTTCAAATTTATGTTGATGATATTATTTTTGTTGGGTTTTGAGCATTCTAACACTCATATGGTGTACATGCAACCCTAGATGCTTTGGATCTATGTTTTCTCTAATATACATGCAAACTTTCAATTTCCAAAGCATCATCCTAACTAGCATACAATGGAGTATAAACAACATGAAATACAAGTTAGATGACATACCTTTTAGTGTAGTTGGAAACCTTGGACCTTTAAGAACTTTGTGCCCCAAGTGTTGCACCTCAAATGGAATCACACAACACCACCAACAATGGAGGAACTTGAGAAGAGATTCCTTGGACACACAAAATTCGGCTAGCCCTCTTGCAACTCACTTAGGTGCCGATTTTGGTAGCTATGAGGCATCTTATATAGTGTGACGCAACTAGGGTTACACCATGTAAACCCTAATGTGCATGACTTTCCACATTCCTTAGGCTCCATGGGTTTTAACCTCCATGGAGTATCCATGGGTCACCACATGGGTTTAGCCCAACATAAAGAACTATGGATCATAAACCCACTTTATAAGAATGAATCATTTACACAATCAATCCTCATATATTTAATTTGTCTCTTTTGATCACAAAATTAATTCCAAATTAATTCTTGATCAATACTAATTAAATAATATGATTTCATATTAATATATTAGAACTTATAATATATTAATAAACCATAAATAACATCTTCTCAATTATCCATCCTTCAGATTGTTCCGGTGCCATGCAATCCAAATGGACCATGCTACTCTCGGGTCAAGTACATACCAATTATAGTATGGACTTAGATACTAATCCAACAGTCTCCCACTTGGATAAGTCTAATAACTATTATTCCAAGTAAGACTCCACAACCCGACTAGCAATCGTAACTCTAAAAAGCCGATGTCGAACTCTGACCTAGTGCATGACGCGTCCATTAGATAAGGGATCATATATTCCTCCATTCTAGATATTATATGGACTAAGTCATGGATTATAATCATTCTCTCTATCCATCTGTTGTTTCCCGATTTCCGATTTATGACGACCGACTAATTGAACAAATCAAATCAGTCCAGGCTTGGCTAAGCACTTAGGGGTGTCATCACTAAATCATCGAGGGGCCCACATATATTGCTTTTATCCCTCCATGGGTAAAAGGAATGGATACACTTCGACTCATATGCTTGATCTATCTACTCATCAAGTCATACACAACGATATGTTTTATAACACCGAGTTACCGGTGCGTTTACATATCATCAATGTGCAACCGACTTGTAGACTGCAATTCATATCTCTCCGTTTGAAGAATATAAGATATTATCATCTCATGATCACTCGTGATGAAATCCATGAAGTGATGTAAATGAGCGTGGGTTGAGTCCAGTATTCGAATCTTATTCCAGGAGTACTCATGAACACTGTAGCAAATCTGTGCTATGACTAAAACACCTCTACATACCCATTCATGACAGTATGGCCTCAATACCAACTTCCAAAGTATGATCAACTGCGGATGGTTTGAATAACCCGGTTATTCGGGAAGTCAAAACATGCAAAGTGAAACACAAGAATAATACTAATCCTATATGGCCCCAAAACTTTTAAGTGTCATACTGATTACACATTATTCATTGTATAATGTTTTGATTTATCAACTTAACACTTGAATTAAAATAATAGCTATGCCATGCTCTAGGCATGCACACTATGTTTGTCTATGGTCCTGAATTTGTGAAATAGATCAATTGAAAAACATTTCAGTGATGCTCATTTCACAATTCCAAATCTTTATTGCAAGTGTAAGAATTCCAAATTATTGTCACTGCTAAATTATCATGTAATGGAGCCTTTGTAACGTCATGGTACCAAAAGTCACAGAGACTTGACCACCGATATTACAAAACTTTCCACTGGAGATTGTTAACAAAACAATTCCAAGGAAGCGAAGTCTCAAATTCAAAGTACATTCCTTTGAACATCCTTCTTGCATTAAGTTTCCTAATCTTACACAGGTTTAAAGAATAACTTCCACTTATGGAAACATTTCCATATTCCCATGATGACTATCACTTCTGAACAAGAGTTGCCTCTTTTCAGAATATGTCAATATAGTCTATCCATTTTATACTTCCAACTATAAGCGACCAATCCTTGGTGAACCTTAGATTATCCTTAATAGTTGTTAACCACTTTAGTCATATCCGGTTCTAGTCCTTTTTCCCTCGTAATGCCCTAGGCATTTGGAAAATTTAGAACACGAGAATATTATAGCATATGCAATCGATCCTATACCTGAACCAAATGGGATGCGATTCATAATGTCTAACATAAAGACATGATACTTGACCAGTCTTTTGCTACAATATTTCTATTTGCCATGTTCTCATAATTTTGATGATGATGAGGGATGACGTAATCATAATCAAATTTTGAGAACGCAATTAACCATTCCATATATAGAATTTCCTTATGTTGAATCATTCCAACATAACATTTATATATATTTGACTAAATTTGATTAAAAAAAACTCAATCTAAGCTTCTAGATTTTGAAATGAAGTATAAATTCCTCTCCCATAATTATAGCAAAACAACTTTTCAAACCCACAACTTTGCGAATTGAACCTGTTGTTTTCTATAATTAACATTGCTAACTTGCAACACTTACCATAATAATTATGCTCCCACTAGCATCATAATTATTATCTTACTTGCATAACACTTATGCTCCCACTAGCTTTGACATGTATTCAGAAATCAGCTGGACTTCTAGAAATCAATACTTATTGACTTTTATTACCAAAGTTCAGATTTCTGATACGAGATGCTTCGATAAGACTTTATCTATGCTTCTCAAACTCATACACCGTTCCTTTGATAGCTCACATGTGTGTCTTAACATATTTAGAACTTACAAGAATAAGTCTAAAATGTTTAGACCTTTGCCATTTCTCACAATTCGAATTATGAAGAGGGATGCCGTAATCATAATCGAATTTGAGAATGCAAATATCACAATTGCTAACTATTTAAAATCTTCTTAGTGAAAGCATTTCCTCACAATTATTTTCATGAATTGGAGAGAAACCTTATGACACTTATATTTTTATGGTGTATGTGTTCCTATCCATTTGAATTTGTCAAAACCATAATCACAAGACAAGGTTAGTGACAAATCCAAACTCATATGGACTGAACTTGTTCAATCTTAATTTCTTGCCACCTGGCAGCACAAGGGCCTACTATTGCTTCCTAGGTTGTTATGCAAACAACTGAGAACTCATAGAACTCACACGCATAGTTAACTTTGACTGGAATAGGCACAGAAACAAGAATATGTCAACACGATAGGTTACAAACCTCAAGTCGTGTGCTAGTGTTTAACAATAGGTTTACTATTGATTAGTTCTTGAAACTTTCAAGATCTTTAAGACTCCCACTGACCTCTTGGCATATAATACTCTCT